TTGTTGCTTTGCTTGACACGCTTCCCTTTCTTTTTGTCTTGAGCAAATTTTCTTCATGTTTGCACGGTTCTTAATTTTCCACCAATTATTTGTTGTTATCATAAGATTGGACATCTTTTTTTTCTAACAAAATTTTAGGAAATATTTGCTCTTTTTTTTGGTGACCTAATTGTTTATATATATATATATATAAGGCAATTATTCACGTAAAATAATTTAATGGTTAGTGGTATAATTATTGGACCTTAATTGACATAAGCCGAAAGATTATATTATTTTCTAAGATATCTTAGTTGCTTTTGTTTTTTTTTTTTTTTTTTTTTTCTCCCCGACATTGATTCCCTCCGTTGCCTTACACATGCATATAATAATATGCGACACATAAGCATACGTACATGATTTTGGAATTTATTTACTTCTATGTTTTCTTTTATTTGATATGGACATTGCTTCCCTTGTTCCCTCAAAAGATGTATTTTTATTTCTGCAAATCACAGAATGATACATATACAAAAATAATTTTAAAAAAACATAAAACGATAAATCTTTACACACATGTTAAACTATGATTAACAAGAAAATAGGAGTCCCCACTTCCTACAAAGGAGGCGAGTATTTTCCCTTTAGTATTATTGCAAAGCCCAGTGGAAATGATGATGCACTTGCATATAGCTGCAAGTCGTTACTAAATGTGGGCAATAGAACCCACTAGAACTAGACCAATTTTTAACTTTAGGTCAACTAGTGGCCACTATTCAATTAGCCACTTGAACAAATTGAGTGGGGCGGTAATTAGATTGTGTGTGCACTTTTTTGAAAAAAGAACACACCTTTTGGATTAAATTATAAGTTATTTTTTAAGGCATTTGTCAACCAAATTTAAATAGCTCGGTGTTTTTTCCAATTATGCACCAACAGAAGCAATATCATTGGTGCAAAGTGTATCTCAAATTATAGCAATGCAAATAGGGGATTGGTCAAAACAAGCCAAACTTATTATTGTTGGGAAACCAATAAGTGACCAAGCACAGTCCCATCCATTAGTGAGCTTTGTGTGAGTGTCTGTCTAGGTCTGCTCAGCATCACTTTCCCAGTTGGAAGTCCCATCAAAATTCAACCCTAGTTTTGGTTTAGAAATCAACCTCTTGATAAAATAAGAAAAAGACATAAACCCTCAAATCCCCTCTCCATACTGAGCTTCAATACTCTATTTGAGCTAAGAGATCATCCTCTCTCACAATACTCTCAGACAACAATCACCTGAAAAAAGTTCAGGAAACCTTTTTCTTTCAAGCTTCAAAACCCTGCAACTCAAAACACACGACTCATGGCTCACAGAAACATACTCTTTAAATTCCTAATCCTCTCAAGAACACTCTGGCACCTATGCTGATGCTTATTCCCCATCCAGCAATCCTGTCACAACCTCGTTTTGATCTATCCCTTCTCTGACCATCAAATCCAGATTTCTCTAGAATACCCTAGTCCACAATTTCATTGCTCCACTTTTCCTATGCATTTCAATGATTTCATTGTTATCAAGAACAAAAGCAATATTGTGTGTGTGTGTGTGTGAGAGAGAGAGAGAGAGAGAGAGAGAGAGAGAGAGAGAAGACGGATAATAATAATAATAATTGAATACATTGTCATTATATTATACATTTCAGTAAACAATACAATCTTTCCTTATTTTTTCTATAATTAATAAGTAAAGCAATACAACAAATCACTCTCGGTGCATTGCTAAAACGCACTTCTGCCTGCAGCCAGATAAAGTGACATTCTTTTCTATTTACACAATTCAGAACAAGTCAAAGATGTTGCCAGAGCTAAGAATACTCAAATTTATCCAAACAATAGTGTTTTCTACTTATACCAGACCATATGTACCTTGGTCATAAAATGATTGAATAGACGTATGAGCTGATTATGGCTAAACCTCCCACTACAAAAGGTACAATATGCAAAACCTTTCAACATGGTTAATTCAAAGGTATGGTCAGATGAACAAGTAATCAACCAATATAACATGGAGAGAGGGGGCTAGTGCCTGTTGAACCAAACCACGATGCTTAAATCTAGCCATGCTTGTGTACAATTGATGCAGAAATCAAATATGGACGCAGAAAATGAATTCAAGGGTGGGAAAGTGGGGATTAACTGTGCAGGAGGGGGCAAATAGAATCTTGCTAGCACTAAAAAACAGACAAACAAGCAGACATTCTCTTCAAACTAAAAGGGGAAATTAACTTTGCACTGGAACTTTTGGGACTTGCACAGATTCTTCCTACCAAAAGAGAACACACAAACAAACACATATGAATAAGAGATTAACTAAACACATCAACAAAATAGATGCACAACATAACCAAGAACAGAACAAGTTAACGATCAACTCAAGCCAAAAATTAAGGCCAAAACCAGTCACAAAAATGAAGGGCTGGCATCCATGAACACTATATCTAAAACACTAGTAACATGAAAAGCCATTACCAAGCAACCAAAACTGCAAAAACTTAGCAGCCCATTACACGAAACCCATCCAGCATTGATTTTCCCAAAACATATACACAAGTTTTGTTACACAATATGGACCAGGGGAAACATAATAGTTGCCCACAATCAAAAGACAACCTAATATACATGGGTTGCGACCCATACGACAGAATTTGGAAAAAAAGAAAAAGAAAAAGAAAAATGTGGATTATAAATTGTTTTCCATAACTTATATAGGTCAAGCTCCTTTCTCAACAACAAAAAAAATCACAATCGAAAGCTAAATCCACATAAGAAGAATGGCATATCATCGAGATGGATCAGCAGAAAGATTTTTTATCAATGCTGGAAATTGTGATGGCAGCTAAGTCACTGTTGCAATATGTTGGGAGCAGTCTAGGCTGGCATTCAATATTAGAATGTAACCCACGCCTTTTCTTACGACCCATCACTGAGGCTTATAGATCAAACCCCAGTGCTGTTTGATTTAGAAGAGGTTGCGAAAGTCGCAATGCAAAAGCTTTAACAAGGACTAGGGCCCTCTTCGGTTTTTTCACTGCCATCACAAAATTCCTGCTCAAACCTTTTACTATTTCACCATCATATCCATCTCACTTTTATGACAAGTTGATTTTTTCATTTTCTTCTGTGATTTTCTAGGCATCCAAACAGATAATTTAGAGAGGGAAAACTGAATATACCTGAATGAGGCCGTAGAGCTTAAGCTGGTAACTCCTCAGACTCAGAGTGAGAGGGAGGCAGAGATTCGCGAAGAGTTTTGAACAATGATGCTGGAGTGTTATTAGGGCGTCCTCCTCGTCCACTAGACGATGTCGTTTTGCTTATCTTCACCTAGGTCGATCAATGAAGCCCGGCCCAAAATTAAGAAAGAAATAAGGCCCAATATTCTGGCTCATAAAATATAGTAACGCTTGGTCCTCAAACATCCAGGCCCAAGATTCGGCCCATCTTCACCTAAGTTTCAGATTTTTTATAAAACCTAATTTTCAATTGCGTGTGGGTCTTATGTTTTTTTTTTTTTTTTTTTTTTTTTTTTTTTTGTTTAGGGTACCACGAGGTGTCCCCACACTTGAAGGGTGGAATTAATCCCCGCTCATGGTTTGACTTGCCTCTAACCACAAAGTACTTACAACGGGTTTCGAACCCCTGTGTCTTAATTTTTCAATAGTCACAACTATGTATTTTTGTCACTCTTTTTATGTACATGTTGTTCGATGTACTTTTTAAATCTTTGAATATAAATTAGTTTTTTGTCCATCCTTCCTTTAGACCTCATATAGAATAATTTCAGTATTGTGCCAGGTGTTGTTCACATAAAAGATTAGATCAAATGTGACTTATGTATAACTTATATCTCATGTCTTAAACACAAGATTTAATAAGGGGATTGCATATCAAATGTTAAGAGCAGTTTCCCCTTCATGTAAGGTCATGGTTCGAATTATCATTCCCTAATATCACTTCTAGAGTTTGGACCTTATTTTAACACCCATGCACTCATATGTGGTTTGAACTTGTCTTCTTATTATTCTAGTCCTTTAGTTGAGACAACTTATGCAAGTAGTAAAATAGGGGATCAACTATATTTAGGGTCTATTTGGGAGTGCTATTGACATGTCAAAATGTGATGCATGACAATCAAAAGCGCTTTTGATAAGTTTGGCATGTATAAAAATTACTTATGTTACTAAAACACTTTCTAGAGTTGCTTTTCTTTTTTGGACTCTTGATGTGCATGTTTTATAATAGGACGCTTAATTTTGGAGCTTTTGTGGGACAAATTTATGGGATGACAATTTTGGATCATGACATATAAGAAATTTTGTTATTTTGGATTTTCGGACGTAGCATTCAAAACTGATATCACTTTTTTTGGTTACAACAAATGGGATTTTGATTTTTAATTTGGATCAACTGTATATGACTTGATTATTTTTCTTCTTTTCTTTTTATCATTTTAGATGAGTATTAACACTATTAACTTGGAATCTTTTTTGTTTTTTAAGTTGTGAAACCATGGGTTGTCCAAGTTCAGATTGTTTTGAACTATTTTCTTCTAATATTAAGACGGATCGAGTTGATACAAAAGTTTCCTTGTCTGGGACAGTGATGCTTCTTTATACTCATTTGATTGTCCAAATTAATCGTAATTTCCTAAAGTCACAGACAAAGTCGGCTAACTAGTGCCCTCTTCAATAAACAACTCACATAGAACGAGCCAAAAAAAGTAACCAAACATAGAAATTAGGGTACGAAATTTTAGATTTTAGAAATTCCAATCATGTTTGCTTAGTCTTTGATATATATATATATATATATATATATATATATATATATAAACCCCTAATAATTTCTTACATGAATTTCATAAACAAAATACATCCGATGTGTTCATACGCAAACGTACTCTTCTTCAATCCTCAAATGATCCATCAACACTTCTAAAGTCAAAGGCTCATTAATATTGTACTTCAACTTGACGTTCACATGCTTCCAAGAGGCAGGGAGCTTAAGATGGCAGATACATGAAATGTCTCACTCAACGTCATTCCAGAAGCCACAACTTCATCGAAAATGCGATTGAATTCTTGAATTTGCTCCACAAGTGACTTTTCATCGACCTTCTGAAAATCCATGTACTTTCTAACTAGATATTTCTTCATTCCAAACATTAATTTTAGATCGTCCCACAGTTGTTTAGCAGTTGTAGTTTTCTTTCTCTTTCCGTAACGATGGAGGAGATCATCGCATAGATAGTTCAAGATCGTGCGAAGACATAGAAAGTCATCCTTGATCCATTTCTCTTCAGCATCCTTCAATTCAGTAAGTCCTCCGGAAAATGCTACAGATCCTACAATAATGCTAGGCATGGCTCATAGAGTACATATTCAACTTTTAATTCCTTGAGGAAAAACTCCATTCGCCGCGCCCAGATGGGGTAGTTCTTCCCATCAAGACGAACAGGGTCAATGGGAACAAGTTCTGGACGAGCAAGACCAGACATACCACATTCCCTTTGCTCATTATCACGTTCAGATCTCAACTTTGACTCAATCTTGGCGACCGCATGCATGTCTCGGGTCTGTTAAGAACTAGAAATTCGAAAGCTAAAGAGTGCAAAAGTCTGAGAGAATATTTGTTATTCATTGACTCCAAAGACTGGCATAAATAGCCATACAAGAAACAAGTAATCAGAAAAATAAGCAACAAAATATCCCACGTCTAACAACCCTAGACTATTGGGATTCTCCTAAAGATTAGGTCAAACACTAACCATGTTTCCTGACAAATAGGGATTATTAGCATAAGCAAATTAACTAAATAAATCAAATAACAATAATGGATAAATATCCAACATTCCCTCCCTTAAACTGAATGCTATTCAAGCAATCAGTTTACAGTAGAACCTGACAAAACTCCTAGTAGACCACGCAGCTTCTCAAATGCTTCTAGCTTCAGAGGCTTGGTCAATATGTCTGCAATCTGATCTTGACTTTGACAATGAACTAGATCAACAACACCTGCCTTTGTAAGATCACGAAGAAAATGAAACCTGACATCAATGTGCTTGCTTCTTCCATGCAGCACTGGATTCTTGGAAAGTTTGATCGTTGAACTGTTATCACAGTAGATCAGTGTAGGCTTCTTCTGAATGCAATGTAATTCCTCAAGTATTCTTCTTAACCATACAGCCTGACAAGCACAAGAAGCAGCTGCTATGAACTCAGCTTCGGTTGTAGACAAAGTGACAACTTGCTGCTTCTTTGAAGACCATGAAACAGCCCCTGAACTTAACATGAACACATGACCAGATGTGCTCTTTCTATCTTCCAAATCCCCAGCATAATCACTGTCACTAAATCCCACTAACTCATTGCTTTTTTCCCTTCTTATAAAACAGCCCATAATCCACAGTACCTTTCAAATAGAGGAGCACTCTTTTTGCAGCCAGATAATGAAGTTCAGTTGGTGTCTCCATAAACCTGCTAAGGAGACTAACAACATACATTATGTCTGGTCGAGTGGCTGTCAAATACATTAGACTTCCAATGATTTGCTTGTAATAGGTGCTATCAAAGCTCTCTGCTTCAGCATCTCTTGTAATCTTAAAACCTGGTACAATTGGATTTTGGACTGGATTACAATTTGACATTCAAAATCTTTCCAGAACCTCCTGAGCATATTTCCTCTGGCTAATAAAGATTCCACAAGATGATTGCACTACCTCAATACCAAGAAAGTAACGCATCTTTCCCAGATCAGTCATATCAAATTCACTCATCATAGATGATTTAAATTCAACAAACATGGCTTCATCATTTCCAGTGAATAACAAATCATCTACATACAGACAGACAATCAAAAATTTACCTCCTTCTCCAGATTTGACGAACAAAGTATGCTCATGAGGACACTTTTGGAATCCTACCTTAGAGAAGTAAGCATCTATACGACTGTACCAAGCTCGGGGTGCTTGTTTCAGTCCATATAATGCTTTTTTCAGTTTGAACACCTTCTTCTCATTCCCCTTTTGCACATAACCTGGAGGCTGGTCAATGAAAACTTTCTCATTTAACTCACCATGCAAGAAGGCTGATTTCACGTCAAGTTGATAAACTGGCCAATAGTTCTGTGCTGCCAATGATACCACCAAACGAATGGTGTCAAGTCTTGCAACCGGTGCAAAGACTTCAGCATAATCAACTCCATATTCTTGCTTGTATCCCTTTGCCACCAGTCTCGCTTTGTATTTGTCAACCTCTCCTTTCTCGTTAAGCTTTGTTTTGAAGATCCATTTAACCCCAATGGTTTTTTCTTCTGCTAGAAGATCAGTCAATTCCCATGTATCATTTTTCTCGATTGCCTCTATTTCTGCATCCATAGCTTTCCTCCACTTTATATTATTAATAGCATCCTCAAAGAGCACTGGATCACTGTCTGCGAACAAAGCATGATGAGCAACATTATCATCATCCGATAATTCATCTCCGCTTACATAGTCTATCATCCAAACAGGCCTTTTTCTGATCCGTTGAGTATCTGAGTTTGAAGGTTGGCCTTCAGAAGGTTCGTTTGCTGAAACATTTGACATCGTATCTCTGGAAGTTTGTGCTTCATGTTCTGTTATGTTTTCACTTGCTGGAACATTTGGCAAGATATCTTCTAGAATTTGTGCATCAGTCCTTCTTTCATCATTGATATCTAAATCAAATGGAATTGATTCAGATACAGTGTTGCTCCAATTCCAACTACTGCCTTCATCAAACACAACATCACGGCTGATAATGATCTTCTGAGTGACTGGATTGTACAGCATATATGCCTTTGATACTTCACTAACACCAAGTATGACACATTTCACACTTTTGTCATCAAGTTTGCCTCTTTTCTGATCCGGTACATGTGCATAGGCTAGACATCCAAATATTCTGAAGTGATCAACAGCTGGTTTGCGTCCGGTCCATGCTTCTTCAGATGTCATGTTTTTAACTGCAAGTGTGGGGCTTCTATTCAAAATATGAACACTCCAGTTGATAGCTTCTGGCCAGAACTTCTTTGGGATGTCTTTCTTTGTCAACATGCTTCGTACCATATTCATAATAGTACGATTTCTCCTCTCTGCCACCCCGTTTTGCTGTGGTGAATAGGCTGCTGTAAGCTGTCTTTTGTTGCTGTTTGACGTTGGGTTAATTGGTCCACATATATCTGAATGAACCAATTGCAGTACTTCTGTAGCTCTCTATGTACTCATTTTTGGAAATGAGTCACGATGCTGCTTTCCAATAATGCAATCCTCGCATACCTTTGAAGGAGTCTGAATTTGAGGCAGTCTGCTTACCATCTTCTTTTGCTCCAAGGTCTTCAATCCATTAAAGTTTAGGTGCCCATAACGAAAGTGCCACATCCATGTTGTGTCTTGTGTGGTTGAAGTGAAGCAAGTTTGATCATCATGTGGAATCTGTGTGTATAGAGGGAACATCCGATTTGTTGTCATTTGGGCTTGTGCAAAAAGCCCCTTCTCCGGATGATGAATCTGACAGTTGTCCTTCTGAATAAGGATTGCGAAACCCTTTTCTTGTAGCTGACCAAGACTAATCAAATTACTTTTTAGTTCTGGGACATAAAATACGCCAGTGATTGTTTGCATGCTACCATTCAACCGAATTTTAATATTCCCTTTACCCATAACATAGATGCTAGAATTATTTCCAAGCTTCACATTTTCTCTAAAATTTTCATCTAGATCAGAGAACAAGAGTTTATTACCACACATATGATTACTGCAGCCGAAGTCTAAATACCAAGTATCACCTGATGGGTTCTTCTTTTTGTCGATGTAAGGCATCAAGAGAATTTCTTCTTCGGTCTCAGCAAGATTCACCTTAGTTTCCTTCTCTTTGTCAGGGCATTCATATTGATAGTGCCCAAACTTGTGACATTGAAAGCATTCCACACTTGCCTTGTCAAATTGTGCTCCTTGATTGTAGGAAAACTGGTGTCCTCTGCCTCTGTCTCTTCCTCGAAATCCCCCGCGTCCTCTACCTCTGCCTGGAAATGTTCCTTCATGAGTGGTGATCTTCAAGGCTTACTCCTCCACAACATGACTAGTCATCCTCTGCTCATGAACCAACAATGAACTTTGTAACACATCAATCGAAAGGCTGTCAATGTCATTCGATTCTTCAATGGAACATACCACATAGTCAAATTTGCGTGTCATTGAGCGAAGAATTTTCTCAATGACTGCAACATCTTCCATTTTTTCGCCATGAATACGCATCTTATTTGCGATCACCAATGTCCTTGCAAAGTAATCATTAACTGACTCTCCTTCCTTCATGTGGAGAATCTCAAACTCTTTATGAAGAGCTTGAAGTTGGGCACGTTTTACTCGTGTTGTACCTTGATACTTCGTCTTCATGGAATCCCAGATATCCTTAGCAGTATCCTTCTTGAGGATCGTTTCCAGGATGGCACGATCTATTGCTTGAAACAGGTAGTTCTTTGTCTTCAAATCCTTCAATCTTTGCTCCTCCAATGTCTTTCTCTGCGTCTCTGTCAAGATAGGCCCACTAGCGGGCTCTTCGATGCCGGTTTCAACCAGAGTCCAATACTCCTTGGATCGCAAGAAATTTTCCATTAGCATACTCCAATGATCATAGTGACTGTCAAAGCGTGGAATCGCAGGTTGCACAAAATTGTTTTCAGACGCCATTGAGTCTTGCTGCTGCAAGATGAAAGCTGCTGCTTTTTCAAACCAGGCCCCAGTGGGGGGCTCTGATACCAATTGTTAAGAACTAGAAATTTGAAAGCTAAAGAGTGCAAAAGTCTGAGAGAATATTTGTTATTCATTGACTCCAAGGACTGGCATAAATAGCCATACAAGAAACAAGTAATCAGAAAAATAAGCAACAAAATATCCCACGTCTAACAACCCTAGACTATTGGGATTCTCCTAAAGATTAGGTCAAACACTAACCATGTTTCCTGACAAATAGGGATTATTAGCATAAGCAAATTAACTAAATAAATCAAATAACAATAATGGATAAATATCCAACAGGGTCCTCTTATTCAAGTCTCTCCAGATGACTGAAAACATATAGCATCAATACAAATCACATGAAATATAATTTAAACAGTAACTTAATGAAAGTATATATACATATTTCTAACCAAAATTAGGACCAGGAGTCAGTAATTGCCATGAGAAAATAAGATATATTAGTGTATGGTACCATAGCCAGAAACCAGCATTCCATCTCTTCCTTCAAAAACTCCTAACAATCCCCCACTCTTCCTTGGCGTTGGCATTGGTAGCTAATAAAACAAGAGAATTAATTTAGATCACACACCCACTAAACACTCATATAGAATAGAACCAAAAGAAACCTATTATATAAGAATTCAATTTTCCTTCCTTTCCAAGTAACCAAACTTAGAAATTAGGGTTTCACCTTCGTGTCCTTGAGCTCTTCTCCACCGTTCCGGCCCTTACCAGACGAATCGATTCCAAATCGCTCTGTGTCCATGTATCCGAGTGTTTTTATGCTTTGAACGTTTGATTTGAAGCCCTTATTATAATATGTCAGGTAAAAAAATGGTTGGTGGCATGATCCCTACCATAATTCAAATTCTAGTAATTCCAAACATGTTGTTTGTTAATCCAAATCACGAAAAACCTGGTCAATTGGCAACACGTATCCTATTATTGTTGGCCACGTCACAGTTAAGTCTCACAAATGAATGAAACTAGTGATTTAAATTAAGATTTAAAAAAAGTTAGCAAACAGTGAGTGAAAGAATGACGGAAACTAATATATATATTATAATGCCTTGTGACGTGTTTAAGAATAAATAAACTGATTTACAATAAGCTTATCTGCTAATTATTCAAAACATGCCGACCTCACAATAAATATTTATAGGGGAATTTTTGTTGATCTCTTTCGAATGTGCAGTCTTTGATCCAGAAGAGAATTTACAACAGAGAACGATAGGGGAAAAAGGGAGGGCTTTTGGGATCAACACTTTGCGAGTTACTTAAGGATTGGCTACTTGTGATCACACCACTACAAAAAAAAACAAAACAAAAAAAAATCACACTAGCTATTGATGTTCAATTGATCATTTCTTGTCACACACGGTTTGGATTACTATAGAAGTGGAATTGCTTATATTAAAGCTACATGAACCAAAGTGAAGAATGGCTGAATTTACATATGCAAAAAATAAAGGGGATTACTTGCCAAAATAATATTACGAGAGAAATTGTACAAAATTATGAATGACCATCTTACAAAAGCTTTAACTATTGATACGTATTTTGAAACTGAGTTCTGAATTTCACTTCATCCTTAACTTCAATTGTTTCAGCTAACTCCCCACATACAAATTATGTGACTCATAATACCTCATTTTCGTCTACTCGTAAAATAATCATCAATTGAGTAACATGGCAAGTAAATGAATCCATTGTTTTACTAAAATGTGTGTGCAACATGTGCAAAGAATAATTCCACTATGTTAGGCATCTAATTATAAGCTCGTAAAATAATCATCAATTGAGTAACATGGCAAGTAAATGAATCCATTGTTTTACTAAAATGTGTGTGCAACATGTGCAAAGAATAATTCCACTATGTTAGGCATCTAATTATAAGCTCATACGTAGGCATGGGCTTAGTCAGTTTGAGTAGAGCGGATGTGCTCCCCACTCTGCATTCAAGTTCGAATTTCCATCCACGAAGTTTAGATTAGTTTAAAGTAAAATATCGCTTCTACCCAAAAATAATAATATATATAAGGTCATCCACTAGTTATGATAATTAATTTCCTTGGTTTCTCATGTTCATTCCTTATTATATATTTTATTATATATTATAGATTGTAATAATAATATTTTTGTTGGGAATTGGATGGGTAGGGATGGCAGAAATCCCGTCAGGTCGGATTGGGTCGGGTCCTTGACCTTAATGGGGGAAAATGGGGCCGGGTACGAGGATCCCCGATTTTTAACAATACCACATCGGTGATGGGCTGAGGATGGTATCCCTATCCCGAACTTGGCCTGATAAGTGATGTATTTATTTTTAATTGATAAATTTATAATGTGATATAATATAAAAATGAAAAACTTATCCTAAACTTTGTAAGATGTTTAAGCTTTGGACATTTTATTATTATATGATTTTATTAGTTTTGTCAAATTAAATTGGGATGATTTTGAATGGTTGAGTGAAATTTAAGTGTTAAATGGATTTTACCCGGATGGAGACAAGACGAGAATTTCCCGAAATTTCATACATGGAATGGGGAGCGGGGACATGGATAATATTGTCATACCCAATCCCTAATCGACCCGCCCGTTGATGGATGTGAGCACTAGTATTATTGCTCAGTTTAATTAATAAAATAAAATAAAAATATTTTTACTGAACTCTACACCTGAAGGTAACCTCAGTAGTATTGAGGTTGAATTTTCTCCAATAGGTGATTACAAACATGTTACTGATTAAACAAATAGTCAGAGCAATTGAATAATAAAAAAAGTTATCAATTTAAAAAGAAAAACAAAGCATGGAAGGTACCATTAAAACTCAAAACATGTAATCAAAAACCAAGCTTGCTACTACCTTCCTTTTCTTGTGATTAACTAATTGATGCGTGATTGTTGTTCAACCTTCAAGCGATGAATCAGCTTTGTAACAGGCAGATGCTCCTCGCGCATCAACTCGATGCGCACATCCTCCCAAGATGGGGGGAGCTTGGAGATGATTGCATTCACATTAAATTCCTCATCTATCGCCATTTTGTCATACTCAACCAGACCTAAGTGTTAGTGTTTTTGTGAATCTGTATGTGTATTGGTAGAGAACAAAAACAAGGAGAGAAGAAAAGCTTAAATCCAAAACTCCTCTGCTATACGTGTAGCAGAGAGAACATTCTCATTTCTCTTCTGTAAGAAATCTGTACAGTACAAACACACACACTTGGTGTGAGGATATATCCGTTAGGCACAATGACAGCTGGATGCATTACATCACAATGCAATCTCAGCCATCCACAAACTAACCAATCAAACGATGACACTTGGATTACCAATAAAACAAACAATAAGAAAACTAAACGTATCTAATTTATGAAATCAGCTTGAGCACTTATAATTCAACACTCCCCTTTAAGTCTTGAGCTGATTTCACTCCAAGCATGCCTCTGAGATAATTGAACCGATCTTTGGCCAATGGTTTGGTGAAAATGTCAGCTAGTTGTTCGTTGGTAGGACAGTATTCCAGATCAATGACTCCTTCTTGCAAAGCATCCTTGATAAAATGGTATCTTCTATCAATGTGCGTAGTCTTCTGGTGGAACACAGGGTTTTTAGTGATTGTAATTGCTGAGATATTGTCACAATGCAATGAAGTAGCTTCAATTTGTAGCTCTCCAAAGTCCTCTAGCACAAAACGCAACCAAATAGCCTGTGTAGTTGCTTCAGCTGCACTGATGTACTCAGCTTCTGCAGTGGACAATGCTACACAGTTCTGTTTGACTGAAGCCCAAGAAAACACTCCACTCCCAAAGGTAAAAGCATACCCCGATGTGCTTTTGCTATCACCAACTGATCCTCCCCAATCACTGTCACAGTAGCCGATCAGAACTGATTTCCTGCCTTTCACATACTCTAAGCCGTAGTCTAGAGTTCCCTTGACATATCTCAAAACACGTTTAGCTATTCCATAATGCCTGTTTGTAGGACAGTGCATGAATCTGGCTAGCAGACTTGAAGCATACATAATGTCGGGTCTTGTAGCAGTTAAGTACAGCATACTACCAACAATGCTTCTGTAGTGTTCTTCATTTGCAGCTCCACTCCCATCATCCTTAGCTAGTTTCTCAGTGGCAACAAGAGGTGTGGTTACAGATTTGCATTCAGTCAAGCCAAATTTGTTCAACAAGGTGCTAGCATACTTCTTTTGATGTAGAAATATACTAGACTTGGTTTGAATCACCCCCATGCCAAGAAAGTGATGCAAGAGACCTAAATCTGTCATCTCATATTTAGTCATCATATCTTCCTTAAACTCATCTAGTAACTCCTTATTGCTCCCTGTGTAGACAATGTCATCTACATAAATAGAGACAATTAGGATATCCTTATCTTCCCTTTCTTTGGTGTATAAAGTTGCTTCACTTAGGCTTTTCTTAAAACCACATTGAGTGAAATAGCTGTCTATCTCTCCATACCAAGCCCTTGGTGCTTGCTTCAGACCATAGAGAGCTTTATGTAGACGATAAACTTTGTCCTCTTTGTCTTTAATTACAAAACCTTCAGGTTGATTGATATAGACTTCCTCTTGTAGCACACCATTAAGGAAGGTAGATTTCACATCAAGCTGGTACAGTTTCCAATCCTTTTGAGCAGCAAGAGCAATAAGTGTTCTAATGGTGTCCACTCTGGCTACAAGTGCATAAGTTTCATTATAAGATTATCTAGGATTATCTAGGACATGTTCATTCATATTATATCTCCAAATACCGTAGTTATTCCCATCCAAACGAAGATTGTCAACGTCAACAAGTACTTCATATGAGCACGACATGAACAAGCCAACACAACACAGCAGCAACAGGGTAAGAAGGAAGTTATAATTATGCAATGCAAGTTAAAATACAATCATAACATGAAGCTAATGTATATATATTTGGTTTCGTTGTATGCACTCATTTACCTTTGGGAGTAACAACTTGATATCCATCCCCCAGCTGTTCAAACAAAATAATTTAGATCAGAAACCTTGATATCCATCTTCCTATCGAAATATCATCAGTTTCTCATTGTCAGAAGCACAACCCAACTGACACATACTCTGTCCAATTTGAATCCTCTCCGTGTCTTTGAGTTCCCAGTTGACAACTCCCGATTGGAATTCTATTCTTTTCCCAAACACATACTCTGTCCAATTTGACAACTCCTGATTGGAATTGCATTGCTATTGTTTGTAACCTATGTGCTATGCCAGCATTGCTTGGTATGATTTGATAGTTGGTCTCGATTTCTAGCTCACTTAGATCAAAACTCCTATATGTGGTTCAGACAAGTTCTAACTGCAAATATTTTGACAAAAATCTCATCGGACATACCTTCTGTATTGTCTCAAGTAGATTGCAGTTATGTCTGAAGTAATTTGTTTCTGTCCGATGAGGCTCTTGTAGTTATGTTGGAACCAGCTGAACTTTTATTTGTACTTACTATTAAGTATCTGTTGGATATATAATTACTATTAAGTATTTATTTTGAATGAGCTCATTGTTTATCAGTATATGTATACATACAGGGTTAATTATTCAAGCAAATCCGTAAAATAATTTAATGGTTAGTGGTATTTATTGTACCTTAATTGACACATATAAATATATATAATTTTGGAATTTATTTACTTCTATCTTTTCTTTGATTTTGGTATTATTGCAAGCCCAGTGGAAATGATGATGCTATGTCATATAGCAGCAAATCTTTACTAAATGTTGGAAATAGAACCCACTCAAACTATAGACCATTCAGGGCATGTTTACATATCAGTAATAGGTAATAATTTCCACTCCTGACTTCCCCTGCGTTTATTTGCAATCAGGAATGAAAAAAATAAGTAAGCCCTACCTCAAAATCCGTAATCACATCCCCTCAAAATTAGGTATCAGATCAACTATGGGGGGGTAGTCGATATGATTCACATTCCTGTTTTTCCGTATTAACTTTCAAAAATACCCTTACCATTTTACCATAATTCCAAAACACCCCAAACCCTAAAATAAATAAAAAATAAAAATAAAAAACTCACGCCAAGAAGAAGTTCAAAGACACTCCGAGGTGTTATATATTGGAGTTTATTTTTTTCATTTGAAATTGGCTTTGGACAAAGGTGTTATTAACATTATCATTGAACTGGGCTCTTTCTGTTCATCTTATTCAACGTGTTGATTCCTCATGTTTACACAGCCTTACTAGTTTGCTGTAGGATTAGTTTGGTCTCCTTAGCAAATTTGAGAATTATATATGTATTGTGGTGAAAATGTGCATGGCATTTTAGTAATCAAATTAATTTGGATTCTGATTCATGAAAATTAGTAAACAATAACAATAGAAATCAACCTCATTCCTTGGCTAATTTCATATGTTTAGTAAATAGCTTAATGAGAATGATTCTTTCCACACTGATTCAATACTTCCCTGATTCCTAAATTCTCTGATTCATTACTTTCTCCATTACTGATACGTAAATTAGCCACTTGAACAAATTGAGTGGGGGTGGTACGGTAATTAGATTGTGTATGCAATTTTTTGAAATTGCACAAAATGGTTTTGTTTTGTTTTTTTTAATAAATAGTATGGTTGAGTGGCTATTCTTTTTAAATATAATATATTTAATAGTATCGCCGCATGGCTATATGCATAAAAAATAAAAATTTGGGCTGCCTAGCCACCTAGGCAAGTCCCTTTTTTTTATTTTTTTAAATATACTCTTTAATGTATATTCGAATATTTTAAAAGTATAGACACATGATTATACTGCACAAAATGGTTTTATTTTTTGTAATTAAGTATGCCTTAGTCTTTTTTAATTAGTATTTATGTTTTAATTATTATTTTTTAAATGAATCATTAGTATTTAAATATTTTACTAATTTCATAAATTATTTAATAAATCTTATATTTATTTATCTTAAATAATTTTGCGGACTTTAAAATTATTTTTAATTTCCGAAAATGGATTTGAGCCTCAAACCCTAAATCCAAATCTCAAATCTTTCTCAAGCCTTGAACCTTAACCAATAGACTACTATGGGGCACTTATGACTCGATTAGGCTTGGATACTCACATAACTCAACCTAGGGTTTTACAATTAGAGTTTCGATCTCAATATAGTACGATATAACCGAACCTACCCCTTCCTAGATAAGATATAGGGAAGGGAAAAAACATCAATTTGGTGTCCATATAAGTAGAAAGATGATCTATCGAGTGCTACTTTATTTATAAAAGAAAACACTCAACTTAATATAGATTGAGGGACAAATCGACTAATGATGTAACTTTGTAACTTTAGGTTTGTTTTTATCAAGTTTAAAACATAGGGACTAAACTGTTACATGTAATCAACCCTACTAATAACTTTATTTTTAGAAACCTTTTTTTCCCAACCATATGACATTGGGTTAAAAACATTAGTTGGTTTTCCAAATCTATTGATGTAGTGTTCTAACAAAATGTCACATTTTTTTTTCAGCTTGAATTATATAAATCTCTTGATGTATATTTTCACAACTCTTCTAATATGGTTTAATGCATTTCCTAATTGCTAGACCTAATTACCCTTATTTAAAAAGTATTGAAATGTATTAATATTTAAAGAGTATAGCATGTATTCAAATATTTTAACATTATAGCCGCACGGCTATACTGCACAAAATATATTACAATATAAACATTAGTTGGTTTTCCAAATCTATTGATGTAGTGTTCTAACAAAATGTCACATCTTTCTTCCAGCTTGAATTATATAATCTGTTGATGCATATTTTTCACAACTCTTCTGATATGGTTTAATGTGTTTCCTAATTGCTATACCTAATTTCTCTTATTTAAAAAGTATAGATGTGTGGCTATACTCTTTAAATGTACTAAAATATTTTAAAATTATTAAAATATCTTAATATTTAAAGAGTATAGCATGTATTCGTATGTTTTAAAAGTACAAACGTGCGGCTACACTGCACAAAATATATTAAGATTTAAAGAGTATAGCCACGCGGCTGTATGTGTTAAATATGTTCGAATATTCGAATATTTTAAAGTATAGTCACGCAATTGTTCTTGATTTCACTTTTCAGGCTTCGAATATTGAGGTTGAAGAGGCAAGTTTGTCTGCTTTAGAAAGTGTCCTAAGGCATGCTGGGAAGAGCTTGAGAAGTGCTGTTAGAACTCGTGTCTAGTTGCACCTTAATGATTTAGTTCGTAATGATGATGACCAAGTTCGGATATCTGCTTCAAGCATTTTGGGTATCACATCCCAGGTATGTCATGGATAATATTGGAACTTCTCCAATATCTATATCTTGCCATCTAATATTGTTAATTTTGTGAATGAGCAATTACGGTTTCTAATTGTATTTAGTTGCCACTTAATCATGACGTTCATGATCCATCCTTTCTAATCCATCTAGTAATAAGTGATTCTTTTATAAATAATTGCTAAATCATTTTTCTCTCCTCTTAATTTGTTTTGTCTTATGATATTTCAACACGCATAAAAAACTAAGATTGATCCATAATGCTCTGTTATGTTTGTTGACATAAAAGATTATATAAACTTGAATATGAAACAGAATACCAAAATTTTCATACTTAGACTAATCAAACATTGAATCATGTACTCATAACTCATATCTTGTCTTAAACACTAGTTTTAAGGTCTTGATTCGGACCTCAAACATCGAATCCTAGAATTTGGAACCTAAACTGTAAATACCTCAAATCCCAGAAACTCGTATAACTATGTAAGTTTAACTTGTCTTGTTATTACTCTAGTTTTTGTTTCTAGGGTTAAAGTTAGGAAGGGGGGAAAGGGTTTGTACAAACACACACTGTCAAGGTGTCACTGAGATAATTTGTTTGTAAGTCAATTCATTTTTCAACTAAGTTAAACCTTATTGGCCTATTACTTTAGTTGAGACAACTTATCCCAAGTAAAATTGGGGATAAACTATTTTCTGTTTGATCCAATACTATTATAATTGACTGTAAAGGATTTATAGCTCAAATAGTTAAGAGTGATTACCTATGCAATTGATATAGTGTGACTTTTTGGGGCTAGGAGAGAAACTCTCATGCAACACGAACGACATTTTTGTTATCTCTAGCCAATAACATAATGAAATGTAAAATAACATTTCCACGTGTCATCGTATGACACATCATCGGGCTTTCCGCTGGTGATACAAACTAATTCCGCTATACGTATTAGGATCCACATCTATCCCCTTCCACAACAAATTCAGCAGTGGCACACCGAGTACCGACATGTCAGCAAGCAAGAAGGTAGCACAGAAGCTCCATGCTACCTCCCAATATATTTCAATTCGCGCTTTCCCGTATCAAAAATTTCCACATCTCCCTCCTTCCCAAATTTTGGAGCCAAATGGCGGCACGAGGCCCGGCATATTTGTAATTATTTTATTAAGGTAAAAATATTATTAATTTCACGTTAATATGGTTATTCTCAAATAATAATAATAATGATAGATCACGTCGTATATAAGCAATTCGTCGTTGTGTGCAAAACTGTAAATTGTGGTTTTAGGCAAACGGGACCTCTCTGTGTGTGACAAACACAGCTCGAGCTTTCTTGATTTTCCGGGAAACTTTTATATTGATTTTCCTGAGAAAGTTGGTCCGGCTCTGTCACAGCACCGACTCCAAGGTCAAAATTCCGACTTCGTTTTGAATCTTTCTTTTTGTTGTCTGCGTTTGGCCGAAAGAAAGTTACAGAGAAACGTTTCAAATTCATTACCTTTCTGCTTCCGTTGCTTTAATTAGGGTTTTCGCACCCGAATTTGGGTATTTGCATTGATTCCGGCGGCGTAAATTGTCTCCGAGGACGGTGGCCGATTTTGAAGTCTTCAAAATTCGATTGTTCAGTTTCTTTTTGGTGTTCTTTTTTCAAGGTTTGGTTTGGGGTTCAATGTGAAATTAGGGTTTGGGTTGTTATATTTTGAGGGAGATTTTGTGGAATTGAATGGTTAGAATATGATTATCAAACGGCCTCTGAAATTCGAAATGCCAAATGTGAAACGTTGCAAGCTCGAAGAGCCCGAAGCTACAGCCTATGAATTTTCCGCGAATCCGAAGAAGCGGAAAACGAATGGGTACAGCTCAGTTGGCAATGGAGAGGGCGAAGATTTCAGCAGCGGTTCAGGTTCTTCGTACAAC